CTACAGCTCTCTAGAGTTCTCTGTCCTGCTGGAGTATGGGCCCCCAACCCCATCTCTCCAGAGTTCTCTGTCCTGCTGGAGTATGGGCCACCAACTACAGCTCTCCAGAGTTCTCTTTCCTGCTGGAGTATGGGCCACCAACTACAGCTCTCTAGAGTTCTCTGTCCTGCTGGAGTATGGGCCACCAACTACAGCTGTACTGCTGGAGTATGGGCCACCAACTACAGCTCTCCAGAGTTCTCTGTCCTGCTGGAGTATGGGCCACCAACTACAACTCTCCAGAGTTCTCTGTCCTGCTGGAGTATGGGCCACCAACTACAGCTCGCCAGAGTTCTCTGTCCTGCTGGAGTATGGGCCACCAACTACAGCTGTACTGCTGGAGTATGGGCCACCAACTACATCTCTCCAGAGTTCTCTGTCCTGCTGGAGTATGGTATTGTTGTCACATATGGTGTATGTCCAACATATTTTGTCAGGTGTATCTTCAAAGTCGAAATAATCTGGATTACTTGCCTAAAGCAGCCGTTTCTAAATAACGTATCAATAAAGCCGAACTGATGTTGTTAGATGTATAACATAAACAACGATAGCAGTCCATTGAGAAAAAAATTAGATCACCCGTCCCTGTTGGATGCTGGCAGACCAATCAGTCTTGATGGCACATCACGTGACACGGTGTAATATTGGCCACGTTGGTCTATATATAGCACCTGTACAATCTAGCGTTGTGTGTTAACAGCAACTATCGCGTTATTGATATTGAAATCAAGTATGAAACAGTGTTAAGAAATAACTGCACTTTGTAAATACATGGACTATTATTATTTAGACATTGTTGAGGATGTTCTCTATGTTCACATCGACTTTGGTATTAGAACATGTTTAAGAAACATAATTTTAAATTCATTTTTTTATATGTTTACTCTATTTTTCCTCTCATTTTTCTTGTAACATGACGACAAGGCTAATTAACATACCTGACGTCATCAGTTGTAATAGACAAAACGTTAATTAAGAGAGTGACCCTCGTCCTACTGCACCAACTACACGTTGAGTGGCCAAAAATATAAATAAACTGTTGCTGGTGGTTGTGGGGTTGTAGTGGTGGTGTCGCTCTAGACAGAACATCAGATATTGGGGTGGTCGTGATGCTTGGGGTGGTGGTGGTTGGGGTGGTGGTGGTGGTGTTGTTCCAGACAGAGAACATCAGATATTGGGGTGGTCGTGATGCTTGGGGTGGTGGTGGTTGGGGTGGTGGTGGTGGTGTTGTTCCAGACAGGCAACATGCTAAGATGGAGTTGGTGGTGTGGTGCTGGTCATGGTGTTGTCGCTCTAGACAGAGAACGAACCAGAGATGGAGGTGGTGATTGTGTCTAGTGGTATGTGGTGGTTGTGTAGTGGTATGTGGTGGGGTGTGGTGTTGGTGTTGTATCTCTAGACAGACGCCAGACCAGAAATGGTGGTGGTTGTGTGTGTGTGGTGATGTTTGTGTAGCCCTAGACAGACGCCATACCAGAGATGGTGGTGGTTGTGTGTGTGGTGGTTGTGTGTGTGTGGTGATGTTGGTGTAGCCCTAGACAGACACCAGACCAGAGATGGAGGTGGTGGTGGTTGTGGTTGTGGTGGTAGTGGTTTAGCCCTAGACAGACACCAGACCAGATATGGAGCAACATCAACTTCTTGGAGTGAATGGCCTGCTCCCTGAGGACGCGGGGCGGCATTATACGCCATATAATAAAGTTACCAGCCGCAGACAAAATGGCTTTTCGTCACGAGATGGTGACGTCATTTCTGCACTGGCCACGACGGGCGCGTGACGTCAGAGCACGTGGAGGCTTTTCAAGCCCATCATTTTCTTTCAAGAGCCCATGGGTAGATTTACGAAGGGTTTAATCGATATTATGGTCTCGCCATTACAATGTTGTTACTGTACTTGTCCTGATCAGAGTTTCTTTCATGCATCTTTTAACAGTGTCCGCCCCCCTCCCCCGAAGAAAGTGTACCCCCTTCACCCCCTCCCCCGAAAATTTCAAGTGCCCCCCCCCCCCCTCCCGGAGAAAAAAGCCTGGAAGAAACACTGATCCTGATGTATCTAACCATGACACCTAAAATCGAATCTAACCATGACACCTAAAATCGAATCTAACCATGACACCTAAAATCGAATCTAACCACGACACCTAAAACCGAATCTGATCATGACACCTAAATCCGAATCTAACCACGACACCTAAAACCGAATCTGACCATGACACCTAAATCCGAATCTAACCATGATCACCAAAACTGAATCTCATATTCACCCCTAAAACTGAATCTAATCACGACACCAACAACTGACAAAATTACATACCGTACAAAAACCGCGAGATAGCATCATTGCAATAAAATTTGCAGGTGTATCTTCATTTGCATTGATTGCAAGTCTAAATTTGTGTTAAACGATCTCAAATGTGGGACATCAGTGTCAGTATACTGCCCCCCCCACCCGCCCTCAGCATCAGCAAACATTGTGCAAAACACCCACAGAGAGTGAAGAAAATCAATGGCTCTTTTGTATAACATCGCTCCATACCCCACCCTACCCCACCCCTCCCAACATTTTTAAAAATAATTTGTGCGCGATCAGATCTAATGGTAAAAAAAAAAAATGAAAATGTGTTCCCCATTCCTGGCGAACCGGATGATATCAAATTTAACTTGCAGTTGTTTTACACACTAACCAACACCATGATGGTTGAGGTCCAACTAAGCTGACATTAATGAACACAACAATTCATTCAAGATGGCCGCCATCCGTCTCCGCCCACGCGCTTGCTATTTTTGGATTCACGACCCTGTATGGGGCGTGGTAGAATTATGTAGCTTTCTCCTGGTGCGGTGAATATGTTCCTGCAAAAGTGCTATGTATGAGGGACGGGGGTGGATTTAGGTGTTGTTATTTTTTTAATGATTAACTAAGCTCATTATCTTTAATTAATTTTTGGTGTTAATGTGGATTAGTCAAACGTAACAACAGGATAGTTTTACCCTTTGAACTCCTGAACGATTTTTTTCAGACGTGACCTTAGCGACCTTCAAGTGGAGATAAGCTCCCCTAGTGCCGAGAGCAGACGGCGAGTTGAGCTTAGAGGGGTTGTAATTCTATAGGGGAGGAGGGGGGGGTATTGGGACTCAGGGGCATTTCGTGAGGCCGCGTGGTGGAAGTGGGGGGGGAGAGAGAGAGAGAGCTCAAGGGGCATTTCGTGAGGCCGTACAGTGGAAGGGGAGGGGGGGGGGGGGCTCAAGGTACTGCCGGGATTACTGGTTCTGACGTCATCTGCAAGGAATAAAATTCCGGGGCATTTTCAGGGTAATTAAATCGTGTAGATTGTTCTAGAAGATCCAGATTGGGGGGGGGGGGGGGGGGGGGTAGAGTGGCTGGCTTAGCGTTCGCTTTACTGCTGGATAATTTGCTGGATTGTGGCTAAACATGATTCAACTATTGGATGGTTAACGGCTAGCGTGGTTGTCCTCCTCACGTGGATTCGATCACCAGCCTTCCACAGAGTTAGTGCACGCTCGCCAATACGACCAGCTCATCTTTCTGTTGACACACAGAGACTCTAGTACGTCACCTCCCTACTGGCCTGTCATTGTAGCCCTGCAGCAACGGCATCGACCTGCTCACCTATCACTGTAGCCCTTCTCACCTATCACTGTAGCCCTACTCATTTAATACTGTAGTCCTTCTCACCTATCACTGTAGCCCTGCTCATTTAATACTGTAGCCCTTCTCACCTATCACTGTAGCCCTACTCACCTATCTCTGTAGCCCTTCTCACCTATCACTGTAGCCCTACTCACCTATCTCTGTAGCCCTTCTCACCTATCTCTGTAGCCCTACTCACCTATCACTGTAGCCCTGCTCACCTATCACTGTCACCTACATTTACGTTTTCCTCGTCATCTGTCACTTCCAATGACATCATCTCCCTATTTACCTGTCACAGAAACCTGCAATGACGTCATCTCCCTGCTAACCTATCACTGCCAATGACGTCACCCCTACTCACCTATCACTGTCAATGACGTCACCCCTACTCACCTATCACTGCCAATGACGTCACCCCTACTCACCTATCACTGCCAATGACGTCATCTCCCTGCTAACCTATCACTGCCAATGACGTCACCTCCCTGCTAACCTATCACTATAACTTACGATTATGCCATCATCCAGCCCCATGGTATTTACCCCCCCCCCCCCCACTAACAACAGCCGTACCTCCGTGTTTCGCAATCTTTCGCCTCATTGATTATTTATTATTTGTACGCCGGCTTCAAATATCCTATCACTTCTTTTTTCTTGTATCGGACGCACCGTAACTCCTTTTCACACATTCAAACCTCCTTAACGTGTTAACAGATTATTATCATTGCATGCGCAGTAGAAAAATCATGGTTTTTGTTGACATTTTGGTGGGAAAATTCTCACTGTTGGCATGCGCAGTAAAAAAAATCTTTTTGTTGACATTTTGACGGAAAAAATCTCACTCTTGGCATGCGCAGTAAAAAAAATCTTTTTGTTGACATTTTTACGGAAATATTCTCACTGTTGGCATGTGCAGAAAAAAAAAGTAATTTTGTTGACATTTTGACTGAAAGCTCCTGGAAACGTCACATTTATAATTCATGTTATTAATGTACAAGCGAGCATTGCATCATAACATTGGAAACTAGGCCAAGTGCTTCATGAGAGAATGACAGCACTGATTCTATCAGAAGTGCATGCGCATTTTGAACAAAAACGTTTGAATAGATCGTATGCGCTATTCGTTTGCGCAACTCTAACGTCATAAAACTTTTAATTAGTTGCTCTTAACTTTGGATGATTAGTTTCCTAATTCTACCCGATGAGATTCATTTAAACAGGTAAAGACTTAAAGCCATCATTACTGGAAGAACTTTAAGATTTTTTTTAAAAAGCGATTAATATTTTTTAATTGTTTCGACTTTTTCTACTAAAAATTACAGAGGCATTTTGTTTCTTTGAAACAATGTTTTAATTGGAAATGATTTATGAATACTGTGATGAAATTCCGAAAATTGAAAAGATAATTGAATTCTCGTAAGTTTCTTCACAATTCTTGTAAAGCGGAAGTCACGTGTCTATGATAATAGTAGTTGATTGGCTGTTTAAAGTGTGTTGTTGTTGTATGACTGGTGGGATGGTTGTCATCGTGGTTGTCTTGATGGTTGTTTGGATGGTTTTCAGGTTGGTTGTGAGGTGGTTGTCAATATGGTTGTCGATGTGGTTGTTGTAGTCTTGACATTACGTTGATGGTAGCAGACACCAATGACCAGGTTGTCCACCTGACTGTCGGGGTGGTTGTCAGGATGGTTGTCGCTGTGGTTGTTGTTGTCTAGGCATTACGCTGGTAGTAGCACGACTAAAAGACGACGTCGTGTAGTTGGCTGTCGGGGTGGTTGTCAAGATGGTTGTCGCCGTGGTTGTTGTTGTCTAGGCATCACGCTGGTAGTAGCACGTCTGAAATACGACGTCGTGTAGTTGGCTGTCGGGGTGGTTGTTGTTGTCTAGGCATTAAGCTGGTAGTAGCACGTCTGAAAGACGACGTCGTGTAGTTGGCTGTCGGGGTGGTTGTTGTTGTCTAGGCATCACGCTGGTAGTAGCACGTCTGAAACACCACGTCGTGTAGTTGGCTGTCGGGGTGGTAGTTGTTCTCGTAGTTGTCCCACCCCCGGCTGTCGGTGTCAAAGGTCATGGTCTCCGGGTGCGCCGTCATCCCGGTCACGTGCTGGCACGTGCCATTGTACCGGTACAGGTAGAACGGCTTCGCGCTCGGCAGGTGTATCGGGGTAGTCGGAGGACCGTCGGCGCGGCAGCAGTAGTAGAAGTAGGTATGGATGTCGGTGATGACGGCGAAGGGGAGGGAACCGGAAGCGGAGGACATGGGGTCGGATATTTCCCCGGCCCAGTGGATGTATCCGGAGTGGAACCCGTCCGGGCAGGATTTAGCGACCTTGTTGATGCAATAGGAGCCGTTGGGCCAAGGTAGGCCGTCCACGCTGACGTTGTTGACGCAGAAGTGTTGGTACATGTAGTGGTTGGTGTTGTTGGTCTCCATCACTGGTTTTTTAAAGTGAGAGTTGGGCGAGACCGCGTCGAGGTTGGTGGCGTTTCCGGATTCGGTGTGGAACTTCCGGTAGCCGGTAGCCCAAGTGAACCTCTGGCTTTCCGGACATCCGGAGTCTGGCATTAACAGGCTGAAGTAGCCCTCAGGCCAAAAGGAGGGTTCGTATGTCTGGACTGGTTGGAGGGTTACAGGAACAGCCTTGAGGTCGTCGAGTTGGTTCTGGAGGTTTTTGATGGCAGCCTCGCTTTCAGTCAGCTTCGTCTCAAGGTCATTTAATTTTAGTTTTAGATTATTTATTTCAGTATCCTGGGCAGCTTGACCTGTGTTAAGCTCCGATTTTAAACTTAGCTCCAGAGCTAAATTCTCCGCTGTTTGGTTTTCCTGTACAGAGCTGACGTGGCTCTCGATGACGGCTCCAGAGGTTGAGATATGATCCAGGCAGAAGGCTTTGATCTCGTCTCTCTGTTTCAGGAAGAAATTCAACACATCTCGCGGGGTTATTTCCGTTTCCTGAACGGCGATCACGGGGGAGGATTCCGTAACAGCCTGCTGTTGTGAATCGAATCCCGTAACGTCACAACGGAAATGCCCGATGGCGTCGCTGGTCACGACTGGCCAGGTGATTTTGAGAAATGTTTGTAAGACTGAGCCGACGTTGCCGGATAGGACAACGGTCGGGCTGATGACGTGTGTGCTGACAAGACCAGTGGCCAGATTTTCCTGGGCCGCCGTGTCAAACAGAGTCGCGTTCCTCTGTTTTAAAATTTCGATTTTCGTCACGTTCAAGATGGCGCTGTCGGTCCGGTCGCCCCAGAAGCTGCACTCCAGCGTCACGTGATCGGTGACGTCAGTGTGGAGGTTCCTGTTGGAGATGGTCAGCAGGAACGAGGCTCGGGTCAGAGACACGCCCAGGACGAGAGTAAAAACCTGGACCCATGGGTGCATCGCTGTGGGTGTGTTGGATCTGTAGGGATAGAAACATCGACCAGCGTTACAAACTGCCTGCCAATGGCTTACAGAAATATACATATATATTTATTATTTACATATATATACTCGCCGTCCCGGCCAGGCCCTGCACTGGCCTCTGTGAAAAACCCATCAGTAAAATACCATGACTTTCCTAAACCTGGCGTTGAGTTTGAATCACTCTAATCAAGAAGCTTAAAATATCGAATTACTTTTTCGACCCATTAAAAATCAAGATCTTAGAGGTTATATCGGACTAACCAAGCAGAAGCAAGATCACGAAGTTTTGATCACCCAAAGATAGTGTAAAACATCTAATTTTATCAGCAGAAGACAGTGTTCGTCAAGCAAAAGAGGACTTCAGGTGATTAACATAAGAACCACTGCTAGATTATCTACTTGGAACAATGTTGTCGTTCTACCTGGTAGAGAGGGTCCATAGAAAATAACATTAGAACCACTGCAGCAGTAACGTCTTAGGATAATATTGTCGTTCTACCTGGTAGAGAGGGCCCATAGAAAATAACGTTAGAACCACTGCAACAGTAGCGTCTTAGGATAATATTGTCGTTCTACCTGGTAGAGAGGGCCCATGGAAAATAACGTTAGAACCACTGCAACAGTAGCGTCTTAGGATAATACTGCCATTCTACATGGTAGAGAGGGCCCATGGAAAATAACGTTAGAACCACTGCAACAGTAGCGTCTTAGGATAATACTGCCATTCTACATGGTAGAGAGGGCCCATGGAAAATAACATTAGAACCACTGCAGCAGTAGCGTCTTACTCTTAGGACAATACTGCCATTCTACTTTGTGAATCTAAATAAGGTCCTTTAATAGACAGCCAGACAAGTTTCCAGTTACAAGACGGTACGTTTGATCTACATAAAGATGGACATTATTTTTAGACGGTTTTGTGCGTTTAGAATTACTAGACGGTACGTTTGATCTACATAAAGATGGACATTTTTTAGACGATTGTGTGCGTTTAGTATTACTAGACGGTAAGCTAAGATAAATTGCGTTAGACGGCGTGAAAATCGAACCTTCTTTAGACGCCCATATAAGTTTTATATTACTAGACGGTAAGCTACGTTCAATTTACGTTAGATTGTCTGAAAGATTGTGTTTATTAGACGCCCAGACAAGTTTTAAATTACAAAACAGCGAGCCATTTAAAGACGGCTATATATATTTAGGCTCACTAGACGGTTGATATTCCTGATATCACTAGACGGCCAGACGTTGTTGAGCTCACTAGACGGCCAGACATGTTTGTAATAAGAAAATAATCAAATGGATGACTCATACGCTTTAATTTAAAGACGCGACAATTGAAAGAAAAATAAAATCAATTTTCTTTGATATTTTACATTAAAATGTCATGTCATTAGCGAATTACAAAGTCACGTTCAAATGTCACGTAATAGTTAAAATGACAATGTCACATTCGTCAAAGTTAACAAAGTATAACGATGTTGACACTTCCTTGTAAGTCACAAGAATTAAAGACAAATTATTTGAAGTTTTGCCATAAAAACAAGTAAGTTTATAGGATCTGTAGGTCTGATACAGATATCGATCAAATCGTTTGATGAGAAATCGAACCAAGATTACAAAATAAATTGACGCCGTTTTGGACGAATGAAGTAATTTTAGTCGTTTAAATCAATTTATCGATTAATTAAATTAATAATTTTCCGCCTCGTTTTTTTATTTATGCGTCGTGCTACCAAATAAAAAAATCGGAAATAAAATATTAAATGCAATCTAGACGGCGCTCTAATTTTACATGGTATCTTCTACTGGCTCGTGAAAATTGAGTTGAAAGAAGAGGCTAGAGTGATCTTGATGTTGTACAGACAACAACCGTTACATATAACACAAAGTCACTCAGTCATTTGTTTTACTAGCATCAGATTACAATAAGTGTTATTTAAATACAAGGTGATCTTAAAATAGAGATTATTAATGCTAGCAGTAAAGTGATATTTAAAAAAAAATAAATGACGAAAAGCTTTTTAAAGCGTTGTGTTTCCCATATTATAGCTAAATGTATAAGTAAAAGAAATATTCTTCTTTAGACCAAGAGATCCCTTGGACAGATGATATGTTTCTTGACCTCAGCATATTAAGGATAATGTGGTCAGCACTATGCCATGCCACCTTTTTTTCCCCTAACATGTTAGTTACTCATCAGAGCTGGGTGAAGCTCAATTCGCTTGAACCTGGATTCGAACCCGAGATTTTCTGGATCGCAGTCTAGCGCGCTACCGCTAGGCCACGACGTTCCAAACGTAAATATATGAATATTTAAAAATAAACAACTAGATATATACATATTTTTGAAAGGTTATTTAAAAAGTTGAACTAACCTGTAACTTTTTTTATAACTTTTATAATTTACAACACCTGTGTACTGATTGAAATGTGGTTTTATTGTAAGTGTTAATTAGTGAGACCAATATCACCCGGTGTACTAGTTGCTGACATTATCATATCGTGATGTCGTTATCACATCGTGATGTTGATAGATAACCACGGTTAGATTAGATCACCACAGCCAGTAACATTACATTTATTTGTGTTTTTTACATTAGAGTTATCTCCCTGCATATTATCTCCCCTGGTTTGTGTAGTGAGAGCTAATTTTGTTTGTATATGGGCCATCGCTGGGCCCGTATGTTGGCCATCAATATCACGTGGACCTTGGCCTCGAATTGGTCTTCTGTTACACAAAGTCTCGTTTCTAACTTATAGGTCAAGATCGTAGTGTATTATTGTTTCATTTATTCAGTGGCGTAGCTAGGGTTGGGGCTGATTCCTAAGCCCAGCGGATCATTCTAAAAATACATCAACTACTTAAAAGCTAATAAATTGGATTAGAGGATATTTTCTTCAGCTCAGTTTACTTCCATACAGCATCTCCCATCTCCCTACCAAAAGATCCTACACTGGATTTATAAGGCTTACTTTCTAGCTGCTTCCCATATGGATCCCACTACAGAATCCACCTATATTTTTATTGAATGTCTAGAGTTCACCTAGAAGCCAGCAAGTTTTCAAAAGTTGACGCGGTAGTGGTCAGAAATAAAAGACTGTTTTGAGTGTTTTGTGTGTGTGTGGGGGGGGGGGGTGTATCCGTCTCGCTACATGTTTATCATCAAGGTGATCACACCAGGCCAGAGGGCCAGAATGCTTCTACGTCATCACACTAAGCATATCTCTGTACGTTGATTCTGACAGGTTATTGTAAAATGCTAGAAGTTAGTTATTATTATTTCAGTCTAACACCTGATCCCCCCCCCCCCCCATCCCCTCCCTTCAATTCCTTAGCATTCCATTCTATAAGAATATTGTTTGCAACAACCAACATATCACTTGTAGAACTTATTAATATCAGTTTATTCCAGTAATGTATTAGTCATGGATCTCCACTAGTGCCTACATCTAGTACACAACGTATTAGAATAAATTGTGTTTGTCTAGGTGTGGATTCGAACCCTAGACGTCAACGGGCGGTGCTAGCTGAACTAGGCTCTACCACACAACACAGGGAACTTCGATATGAATTATTTCATGTGACAGATACGTAAAAAATTAATCCTAATGAATGGGCTGCCAATAACTGTAAGGATTATCCGCGGATTAGCGTGTGATTATCCGTCTAGTTTATAAGCAAGAGAGTGGTATTAAGTTAATTAAGGGTGGAATGGGCTAGTTCATCAAAGTTAATTAAACACAGTAGCCCATATCACAGTGCTGATTAAAAAAAAACGAATTACATTGTTATCAGGAAGTAGAGCTAACTAATGGACCAATTATTTTTTGTTTTAGTTCAATAACATAAAGTAAGACGAAGTCTCTTATCTTTAGATATACAGACATGTATGTCTATATACAGGAGTAGTGAAATACGTTTGTATGTTACGTCCATAACTAAGTATCTGAGACAATCCATCTTTATATAACATCGTATTATTGGTTAGAATTGTTATACCAGATTATATAACGGTGATACAATAACAATATCAAAAATACAAGAAAGAGTGTGTAGGATGGAACGTGTTAGCGCTGGGTGAGAATGTGTGTTTGTGTGTGTGTTTGTGTGTGTATGTATATGTGAGTGTGTGTATATATGTGTGTAAATGTGTGTATGTAAATGCGTGTATGAATGGGTATTTGTAGGCCTATATGTGTATAGGTGTGTATGTGTGTAAAAATATGTGTATGCATGTGTGTGTTTTTGTGTATATGTGTGTTTGTGTATATGTGTGTATGTCTGTGTGTGTGTTAAATAAGAGCGAGAGATAGGGAGAGAGAGCTTTGATAATGGAGAGAAGGTTACGTCTTAAAAAAGGAGATATTGTCATTGATTAATTAAGACAATATTGATTAAACGTCTAGCCGTGTTACATCTTTCGAGAATGTTCGAGATTCATCCTTAGGGGGGGGGGGGGGGAGTAGAAGACAAAATGAGAAAACTGTTCTATTACCAGTGGACAACAACCTGGCTGGTTCAGCTGGTTGCTATAGCGACCCGGCCTTTATGGTCATGTGACATCTTTTTGTGGGTTTTCAAACATATTTTTCAAACATATTTTTCAAACATATTTTTCAAAAAATATACACGTTTTAGAACCATGTCGCTGTGTTGTGTTTCAACACGTGACCACATGTTTAATGAACTCATCAGAAAGAATTATTGGAGTGAAATTTCACAATAGCTCTGGTTTAAACATTATTATTTAAACATTTATTGTTGAAAACCATGCACACAAAAAATTAAATCAAAATGTTTTTCCTTTCATTATTTCTCCAGAAAAAAATAAAAACGAATTTAAAAATTGTATGTTTTTGTTAACACTTTGAGATTGCTCCTCACCTAACTTTGATGAACTAGCCAACCCAGCTTTTAATCAGTGTTTCTTCCAGACTTTTTTCTCCGGGGGGGGGGGGGCACTTAAAATTTTCGGGGGGGGGGGGGCGGTAGGCTTTCTTTGGGGGGGGGGGGGGCGGACACTGTTAAAAGTATATATTTTCTATTTAAATTATATAAATTTCATTTCGTTTGGGGGGGGGGGGCGGTTGAATTTTTTCGTGGGGACATCGCCCCCCCCCCGTAGACATGCCTGAAAGAAACTCTGCTTTTAATTAACTCCATACCACACAATCTTTTTAGCTGGTAAATATTTGTTCTTGAGTTCAGTTCAAACGATAAGTTTCCGTCGAGAGGTTAGTAAACACTGATCTCAGTGAGTTAGTGGGGGAGAGGGGCGGGGGTCAGACTATCTCTGCTAACTTACGTGATTTCATAACCCCGTACAGAAACACAGAAAACATCTACTAGACTAGAGTGTATCTCTATAGGCTGTAGTCTTGTGGCTACCCTTTCCACTTTGTCTTCAGCCAAACTCAACACTCTAAACACATTTAAATTGAGCAAAAACAGACTTTTAAAAAATCTTGTTTATTCAATATCAAAATAAACACATTTTTTTTTAAAACTTGTTTATTTAAAATTTTGCAAAAAAAAAAGACTTTAAAAAAACTCTTGTTTATTTAAAAATTAGCAAAAACAGACATTTAAAAAAAAATATTTATTTAAAATTTTGCAAAAATAGACTTTTTAAAAACTCTAGTTTATTTAAAATTGAACAAAAACATGACAAACCTACAAAGAAATCCATAGCAACCTTAAACGTTCTCTTGTGGTGATTCAACAAATATTCTCTTTTCACTGGTATCAAATTCACTGTCCGAGTAAATCCGATAATGTGTCTTTTATTTCCTAGACAAAGACGGAAAAATCGGTATTTGTTCCACATTATTGTGTTTCCATTGTTCCAAGTTATTGTGTTTCCATTGTTCCAAGTTATTGTGTTTGAATTGTTCCAAGTTATTGTGTTTGAATTGTTCCAAGCTATTGTGTTTCCATTGTTCCAAGTTATTGTGTTTCCATTGTTCCAAGTTATTGTGTTTCCACTGTTCCAACAATATTCAACAGTTTTTACAAATTGTTTTTTTATTTGCGGTGTAAATTATTGAGTAGCTCTGTAATAGGATCAGCAGGATTAGATAACTCACCGGTCGCTGAAAAAGACATCGTTAGATTATTTTCCTTTTTTATTGGTCAGTTTTTTTAAGTGTCTCCCCCCCCCCCCCCCCATACCCTCCTCACCCCTCACACAAATACGCGCAGATTGGGTGGTATTACTCTATGTTTAAATAAGTTTTCAGCTATAATGAGATGTTGAAATTGACGTGAGAAAGTAGATTTTTTTCCAATGAAGCAACCATGTTTGGTGTCACCTTCTTGGATGGTGTCAACCCTTTGGATGGTGTAAACCCTTTGGATGGTGCCAACCCTTTGGATGGTGTCAACCCTTTGGATGGTGCCAACCCTTTGGATGGTGTCAACCCTTTGGATGGTGCCAACCCTTTGGATGGTGCCAACCCTTTGGATGGTGCCAACCCTTTGGATGGTGCCAGCCCTTTGGATGGTGTCAATCCTTTGGATGGTGTCGCCCTTTGGATGGTGTAAACCCTTTGGATGGTGTCAATCCTTTGGATGGTGCCAACCCTTTGGATGATGTCAACCCTTTGGATGATGTCAACCCTTTGGATGGTGTCAACCCTTTGGATGGTGTCAACCCTTTGGATGGTGTCAACCCTTTGGATGGTGTCAACCCTTGGTGTCAACCCTTTGGATGGTGTCAACCCTTTGGATGGTGTCAACCCTTTGGATGATGTCAACCCTTTGGATGGTGTCAACCCTTTGGATGGTGTCAACCCTTTGGATGATGTCAACCCTTTGGATGGTGTCAACCCTTTGGATGATGTCAACCCTTTGGATGATGTCAACCCTTTGGATGGTGTCAACCCTTTGGATGATGTCAACCCTTTGGATGATGTCAACCCTTTGGATGATGTCAACCCTTTGGATGATGTCAACCCTTTGGATGGTGTCAACCCTTTGGATGGTGTCAACCCTTTGGATGGTGTCAACCCTTTGCATGGTGTCAACCCTTGGTGTCAACCCTTCGGATGGTGTCAACCCTTTGGATAGTGCCAACCCTTTGGATGGTGCCAGCCCGTGTGGTGCGCACTACCCCCCACCTCCCCCTCTCTCTTTGTGAGTCTAGTAGCTAAGCTTGTTATAGCCTCACCTACCATCCTCAGTACTCACCCAACCAACAACACTTCACCACCTGTAATCTGGTTTTAAGGCTGGAAGGAAAATAATTATTTTGTAATTATCCCAGCCGAGAGTTTCCGTGTCAAAGGTCAAGGCCCCGGCCCCGGCCTCACTGACTTCCGGGTAAGGTTCTAGCACGTGGCGCCGTACCGGTACAAGTAAAAGTAAAACGGATGTGACGTCGTATCATGTCGGTCGCAGGGCCGTCGCCACGGCAACAGTAATGGAGAAAGGTGTGACGTCAGCGTGATAAGGAGGAAGGGGGGTAACCCAAGGCTGAAGATGTGAAAACAAATGGGACTGCTGGGAGTGGAT